TAAAATTTTGTTTTCCATGAACTTGTGGCAGAATATGATCTGTTTTTAAGAACAGAATATTTACCTTGATTTTTATGGCTTTATTATTTTTATAGAGGTGAGAAGTTTGACCTAAAACATGTTTGTGTTTGTAATAAATTGTAACAGATACTTAATGATAAGTAGATTGGTAAAATAAAAGGGATGGATAAATTATAGCTGAGTTTTTACCTAGAATTTAATTTTTTAATATTAAATACTTCTAAAATCGGTGATAGCTTTAAATTTTTATTTAGAAAGGAAAATGCAATTTAATGTAAGGATTATGTTAGAACAAGAGTTTTTTAGTATAAAAATTATTTATTTGAATTGGTTTGATTTATTTATCAGATCTGTGTTACAGTGTTATTTGCCATTCTTCTTCTCTTGTTTTCACCATCTTACAAATTTAAGAGTAAAATGACTGCTTCATTATCTTAGAAATAATTTTACCTGTCATATAGTATTGTTTCTTATGAATTGTTTTATTCATTTCAATAAATTTTACCATACATTTCTGATTGGTTAATACTGATGAAGGTGGAATATTTGTAATAGTATAATGGACATGATCTTTGTTAGTATGCTCTGCTGTTTGCTATTCATTGAAAAAATTAGTAATATAAAAGCCTTCTTCTGATGAATTACTCTCTCCTTCATTCTTTTGTCATCCTCTAAAACTAGAATTAAAACTAGAATGTATAATATATAGAAGTATCATGTTTCAAATGTTGTTTTAGATTAACCACATTGAGATATCGTTCTGCATTAAATGTACAATTTTATTTTGATATTAGGTTTGCAGAATTAATTGTTTGTGTCACTAAGGTCAAAATAGTTTCTAAGAACTAGATTGCTTTTCAGGGTAGATTTGAGCTTGCATTTTGAGTATTCATTAAGTCAGATCATCTTTCTGAATGTTTTATGAGATTGCATTGCTTTGAAAGTATTTCAGGTAATGGTGTTTAAAAGTATCTGGTCAGTACTTTCTTACTGTCAGTTTATTTGTCCCTAGTCATTCAAAACAGTGTCTTTGAGAAACCATTTAAAAATCCACTTATTTTATTGTCAAAATGAAATTGAAGACAGTGATTTTTTTTTCAAAGCATAATGTTTGACATTTAATAAATAGCAGTATAACCTATGATTTTATTTCATTTTGAGTATATTTAGCCCTGATAATTTGATCAAGGATGTGTAGAAATCTTTAGAAAGACAGCTTAGGTGGAAAGAAATCAGTAGTCATGCTCACTCCATCATTTAAACATATCTGGACTCATTCTGTGTTTTACTCTTCTGTTTCCCTGTCTTTACTGATGTGTTTTATGTTTATACTTGAAAAAATATTAATTTAATTTTTAAATAACACAGCCATAGTAAGTCTCTCATACACACATTAAAAGCACCTAAATTAATTTGCTTTCCCTTCAACTTAACGCTAACATTCTATTTGAGGAAAAATATATATATTTCAGATTAAAATTTTAACTAAGCAAAAGTTTTTAATAAATTTAAAAAATGGCATTGAAATGACAAATCACGTTCAAGTGAAATGCTAATATTTTGCAAAATATTTTCTCCTAGAAATTAGGACTTAAATTTTGCAAAGTAAATTAAAAAGAAAATGTATCTTGGACAACTTATTTTTGTTGACTGTAAATTGTTAAAAGATTATAGAGGCAATATTTAAAATGTTATTTAGCTTGATATATCAATTATTACATCCATATTTCAGAAGTTATTGGTAATCATTGGCAGTGTTTACGAAGAGGTAGGAAAACTTACTCAATGAACATTGACTTTTTACCACATTATAATAATACTTGTACTTGATATTTTCTTACTTTAGAATAAACTTTGTGTCTTTGACACTAATTTGATTTATTACTCTTTCTATTGTTGTTTAGAAGAATAAAATTACTTATGGTTTACTAAAATGGGAAGCAAATCAGTATAATTTATAACACCAGCTGTGAACATGTGGTCAGGTTTTTTGATAAATAGAAGAATGTTTTCCTGATGTTAATATTGGATTTTCTCACATAACCTTATGCACATTTAATCTCAGTTGACAAGCACCTTTCCAAATACTATGGGTGTCTAGGTTAAACACACATAGATATTTACTCCAATACTCAAAAGATCCACAGCAAAACGGTAACAAGCATCTATGTAATTTGCCTTTTATACTTTCATTTCTATTAACATATTTTCCTCATAAAAATTGATTTTTTTTAACTTAAAAAAGGATTTAAATCTATTTACTATGCAGTGTTTTATATCTATGGTGTATTCTTAAGTTCCACTCACTATAGGTACAAGTGGTAGCATATTCATTGTGCCTGTCTTGCATGAAAGCATTTACTGAAGAAATATGACAAGAACATGTTCAGCTAATGAGGTCGAATGGTTGTTACATTAAATTTAGGCGGTGTTTTCTATTAGGTTTTATTTATCTGTATTTGCATTCAATCCTTTCACATTTGTTATCTCTCGCCCAATTCCAGGGATGGGGTGCCTTTTCTCATTTCACAGCCAATTGTTACTGTGCGCTGACTCTGTAAGTTGCTGGTGAATGTAAAAGTGACTGCAATTAACCTGACTTTGTTGCTTGAGGAGAATTTGAGATGAGAAATCTGACAGCAAATGACAGGCATTTT